ATTGCTGCATACGTTGCAATGAATCGGTGGCTTTTATTATGCCCTATTTGCCACACGATCGTTTTCATGATTTTTACAATAAAATGGATGTGGCCGAAGTACAATTCTATATGAAAAATCTCTTAATAGCTTTGCGTCATGTTCATCGTTTCAATGTTATACATCGTGATGTTAAACCCAGTAATTTTTTATAATAGACGTAAAAGACAATTTCTATTGGTGGATTTTGGTTTGGCCCAACAGGTGACCGTGTCGAATAATAATAATTTGACGGGAAAATTAGAAAGTCTTGCTTTGCCTGCACCAAACACTAATGCTACGCCTGCATTAGGTGTTGGTGAGGGTAAACGTATACGTGAACATGATGATATAAACCTCAAAAAATCTCAGGAAGTAGCCGTGGCTGTTACAGGTGCTGGCGAAGTGGTTAGTGGTACAGCGAAACGTTTACGCTGTACTCTAACGCCACAAGAACAACAAACACCAGCGGCCGTGTCAATGGGTCCAACAACACGTGCCGCAAATGCCGCCTTTAATACTGGTACATTATCACATACACCTTTTAAAATGCTTTAAAACAAATTAATGAGATTCCTAACACTCCCCCCATAGGATCGAAAGGAGTAGCTGGTAGTAATGCAAGTCTACATGAACGTAAATCTGCCGGCGGAGCTGCTGCGGTACACACCCTGAGTGGGCGTTTACAACAGAAATTAAGAGCTCAAGGTGGTGCTGAAGCAGTACAAAACAGCAGTACACGTACTTCTTCGGCAGGCGGTAAAAATACCCCGCCCATAACTCAAGCAGCTCATAACAATAATACTGCAGATGCTAAATACAATACCAATCGCAACTTATCATCCTCAAATAGTCCCAAATGTTATTGTTATGGCAACCCCCAAGTTTGTAATATTTGTCTGGTAAAGAAAGAGATACATGCCTCGCGTGCTGGCACGCCCGGCTATAGACCTCCCGAAGTATTACTCAAATATCCCGATCAAACAACAGCCGTTGATGTTTGGGCGGCTGGCGTAATATTCCTCTCCATACTGTCCTCTGTGTATCCCTTCTTTAAGGCTCCCAATGATTATGTCGCCTTGGCTGAAATGATAACAATATTTGGTGATAAATCTATACGCAAAACCGCCCATATATTAGATCGTTTGGTTACATTATCACAAAAAACTAAACCTTTGGATTTACGTAAATTGTGTGTGCGTTTTCGCAACCGCGTCAAATTCAGTTCACCTAGTCTTTTAAAGAAATATCAACGTCCCGATGGTACCTGTGAGGTTTGCAAAAATTGTGATCAGTTTTTCTTTAATTGTCTATGCATGGAGTCGTCCTTTGTAACCGAATCTCAAGATGAAGATGATAACTTTCCTGCCAGTGCCTATGATTTACTCTATCGTTTGCTGGAAGTTAATCCACATAAACGCATAACGGCCGATGAAGCCTTAAGGCATCCTTTTTTTCTGGAATGTCATAACAACGACAATAATATAACTACCTCAACTACAAACTCCAGCCCAGTGACATCATCAGCTCTATGTGCTAATGCTGTGCCGCTAAATACAGCAGCAGCCGGTGATTCGCTTAAGAAAGCACGCAATTAACCTTTAACATCTTTAAGTCGTAATTTATGGAAATTTGTTTTTGTATATTTAAAAAAATGGTATTTTTTATAATTTTTTTTTTTCCTTTTGCCAAAGCCTAAGTTTAATTTATTTTAATTTTCTATTGAGATTTTGTTATTAGTTTTTTAATTTTGCCTCGTTTATAGTGTAAAAAATCAACCTGCTTATATTTATTATTATTATTTTGTAAATCCTTAAATAATGTCAACAAATTTTCCTTTGTAATCATTAATAAATTATATATAAATTTAATTAATTAATTTTGTATGTTAAACACAAAATTGTAATTGTTGTTAAATATATGCTAAAGAAAATTTTTTGTAAATATATTTTTAGATATTTTATATATACACACAGTAAAAATAAAAACAAAATATAGTGTTTATATTAAAAAAAAAAACAGTTTTATTTGTGTTAATAACTGAGGAATTTAAATCTCCATTCTGTAAGTTCACCAAAAAGTTAAGTTTTTAGTAATTTTTGAAAGCGGCTTAATTCCGAAAGAGCAATGTCCTACTAAAACTTTTGCCAGAATCCTTAGGTTATATCTATACAGTCCCAATAAGTAGCTTAGTTGCGTTTGCATTAAGTCTTGTTATTTTACAATTAATTTGTTGGATTCCAACCTTGTCCTGCAAGTTCGTCAAAGGTTTAAATTCTGAATCGACACTAAAAATATTTCAAAATTTATGAAAATTTTAAGTTCGAAGTAAAAAATTGTAGGTCTAATAATGCTAATTTTATATTTGTATGCTTCAGGAGTTGGGTTCTGTTAAGAAGATGATAATAAAGAAAAATATCGAATCTTCCTTTATCATTTGATTATTTCCGAATGCATCCAGGAACTAACAAATAAAATCTCGTCATTTTACGTTAAAAATATTCATTTTAATTTGCAACTAAATTAAAAAAAAACAAATATTACAGCTTACAACTAAATCCAATTTCATTCAAATTGTCGGGCGTTCCTCCCTTACTACGTTTCCATTTTTTGCATTTTTTGTTTCTTAGCTGGCGTACCTTCTGCAACGACCTCAACCTTAATACGTTTACCGGCCTTAACTTCCTCTTTAGAGGGTTGTGTTTCCATAGTACGTTTCTTAGGTTTCTCATAGTTGCCACGACCGGCAGCACGTTCGGACTCTTCAATGGTATAGGGTTCAGTTTCCAAAGCCTTTAGACGACGTTTATGAACTTTGGTGCGGAAATGTGCCTGCATGGCAGTATCATCTATAAAGTACTTAGCACAGTGTACACAATAGAATTGGGCAAAACCAGGTTTTTCCAAATCAACCGCTTGATTGATTAACTGGGCCGATTGTGTGCGTATGTCTTCATCGATGAGATCAAGATCACGGGTACGATTGCGTACACGCCAACGTCTCTGAAGATGTGTATCACCGGAGTGCATCTTCTTGCGTTTCTGTACCATACCCATGTTGGAGCTGTTGTGGTTGTTATATGCCTTGGAAAAAAATTTGGAAAATATACACAACACGTGTTTTTGATAGCGAATTTGGAAGTGCGTAGTTCTAATAACAAAACACGAAGCCGTCTATTGTCTTAAACTCCTGTAATAATTTAAATAAATAAATTATTTTCTAATAATCAAGAAATAACCAATTTTAACTTACTTTTATATAAAAATATCAATATTTTTCTTCTACGTTGCGTTTATTTACAAAATTTTAAAATAATGATAGCTGAAGAGAACAAAATGTCAAAAGTAAAAGAGAACACTTTACTACGTTTTTTTGCAACCTTGTTGTGTATAAAGTAATGTTGCTAACTGTAACCTAAGTAAAAAACGTTGATTTATACATTATGATTAGAAGGAGTTTTTTGTTTAATATTTAACGTTTTTAAAATTTAATTTTTCAAAATGGAAATTCTATTATTTACTATAATAAAACAATTAAATTTTTTTAAAAAATATTACAACAATTTATTACAAAAACTATGGATGAATGATTTATTTTTTGAAAAAAGTATTTGGTAGATCCAAAAACATAGAATTTTTCTGCGTTTTACATTTATTATTATTATTATTATTATTATTATTATTATTATTATTATTATTATTATTATTATTATTATTATTATTATTATTATTCGATGACACTGGCCACAAAAATTTGAAAAAATAAAAACCCAAAGTGCAAGATATACCAGGTTTTCGAGATATCATATTCTAAAGATTGAAAAAACCTGCTTTTTCGCCATATTTCAGACGTTAGGACTCCTTTATTTATAATATTTGTTATGCCCTTTCTTCGAGATATCTTAAGCTGAACTTAACATAAATATAATAGCATTTGGAAGAACTGAAGTCTTTCCAACAACTGTTTTAGGGTGAAATATTTTGGTTGTGTTAGCCTGAAGGGTACTATATGTCTGAATATTCCTTTCTTCGAGATATCTTAAGCTGAAATTAACATAAATATAATAGCATCTGGAAGAACTGAAGTTTTTCCAACAACTATTTTTTAGGCTGAAATATTTTGGTTGTGTACTATATGCTTGAATATTCGTGGCAACATAAGAATTATTTTCGATACCTAAGCTTTACTTTTATCAGTATGATCTTACACTGCCTTTTCCCTATTAGTCAGATAATCCAAGTAAGATCTATCAAGGCTGGGTAGCCTGTATGACATTACTCTTGTTTAGGTAACTGCGCCTAGGGTCTACCATGGAAATGAACAGGCAGATGTGCTAGAAAGAACGGTATCTGCTCTGGAAGTCTCTCCGAGTAGAAACTCCGTTAGGTTTCATTAGAAGCAGTTCTTTCTTTAATACTACGTTCAGACCTTCGTGATTTTTGAAACACATTTCATTCATTTTGTTGTTGAAAAGATTTTAAACTTATTTTAAATTATTTAATAATTGTGTTTAAATATTAAATTTACTGCAATTTAAGTGAAAATCTTCACTTTTAAAACTGAATTTTTAAGTCGGAAAAACATTTGAAAGCAAAAAACACGATAGTTTAATATGTGAACGGTTGTGTTTTTCCAAAAACACGTTAAAAACATGTAAACATAGTATAATATCCGATTTTGTTAACAAAATATATAAAATAAAATTTTAATTTACTTCAGCAGTAAAATTATTAAAATGTTTGTTGGGTTTTTGTATTATAAACGTATTTTTTTTTTGTTATACATTTATGTAAATAACAACACTGTTTTTTAAAGAGTATTTTCCATAATACTACTTTTTAAGAGAGTATTTTATTTCTACTACCTTTTATTTACAACTTCCCATCTCTGTGTCTGTGTTTGAAACACTATTGTGAATTCTCCATATTCATACTAGATGATGACAAAAAACATATGATTGTCAAAATTTTCACCATATGTCATTCTGAAACAAAATCTGCGCGTAAGAAGTCGTGTTTACGGAAAATATTCGTTGGGTGTAATTGATAATAAATGAAAAAAAATGTATAAATATTTATAAAATCCCATAAATAAAAGCCTTAGAATTGTTGAAAAGCATTAAAAAACAACATTAACAAATACCATAACAAAATAAAGTTGTTAGAAAACCAAACTGGTGGGTTAGTTGTGGAAAGAAAAGAAAGAATAGCCAGTGAAGTGAATGGTTAAATAAGAATTGAGAGAGCAAACTACATACTAAAATAACATAAAAAAATATCTGTATGTGTTTAAAAATAAAGAATCTGTGTTAATAATTAAATAAAAACATTCCTACAGCTTTTTGTTTAAACTTATTGTTTAACGGCCCAAAGCTTAAATATTTTAATAATATTTACATATCAGTGTAACTAAGGGACGGCAAACTTTACTCTTCGAGACGGGTAAATCACAATTTGGCTACATTACGGTACGTTTATTTACAAATTTGTTTAGATTTTATTTAAATACTAAAACTGCAATGGGTTAAAAATCATTAACTTAAAGTCTTATCGCTCTATATATTTTATATGTATTTTTATTATATTTTGTTGTTGTTTTTATTTTAAGGCTTATCAAACTTAACTAACAATAATAATCATCATTACTAAAGCCTTATTTGCTTTTTGTTGTTTATTTGCTTAATTTTGTTTTTATCACAATAACTACGTTTAAATAAAATTCTTTGTGTTTTAATTTTTATTAAATTTCTGTCGATTTTTACCGCAAATCTTATTGCACTCAAGAAAAAGCATTTCATTTAGACGTCTCTCCTTATGATGTAACTTCAGCAAACACACAGTGAAAAATTAAAAAAAAAAAAAAAACAAAAAACCATGAAATGTCTTCAATGCATATTTATTTATTTAATATTATCGCTTGTTATAGTTGCTATTAGCAACCAAATACTGTAGTTTTTATCTGTCTATCCTATGTTTAAGTTAGATTAAATAAGTGTTTGTCTGGTCATCTATTTACAAACATATATCCATAGTCATAACTACATATCATGTAAAATCAGTTTAACTTCTGATTTTTCTATTTTCTTACAGACCTCTATCTATTTATTTAGGTTTTAAATCTTTATTTTCTTTTGTAATCGTTTCCAACAATTCTTGTTTCTATCTTGGTTTTTTTTCTTATTGCTTGCATTCATTTCAATTGTAACAGGTTGTCGTTGTTGCAAAAGTAATTTAGTTCAATTCTGATATGTGCCTCTGTCAGTCCATTTGTTTTTCGGTTTATTTGTATTAATTTTATGTCTACTCCTCCCATTAAAGTGAATATCATCACTTCATTGACATCACATCACGTTGTAAGTTTATTTGTACATCTGCGATCAGTAAGTAAAAGGAATGTATTCATTTTAGTTACGATTTGTTAACAATTGTTATTGGACTATACATCTTTAAACATTTGTGGGTCCAAGAGCTTGAAATACGCTTTCAATTTTCTTATTAGTATTTGTTATTTTTATAAAACGTACATATGTTTAATCAGAATTTATCGTAAAACCAACAAAGTATTATTGTAAAACACTTCTTCAAATGGAAACAATTCAAATCGGATTTCCAAATATCGTGTCCTTAAGTTTTAAAAACTTTGTTTTTGGTCTATAGTCTAGTCTATAGTCAAGTCTATAGTCTAGTCTATAGTCTAGTCTATAGTCTAGTCTATAGACTAGTATATAGTCTAGTCTATAGTCTAGTCTATAGTCTAGTCTATAGTCCTAGCCTATAGTCCAGTCTATAGACTAGTCTATAGTCTAGTCTATAGTCTAGTCTATAATCTATTCTATAGTCCAGTCTATAGACCAGTATATAGTCTAATCTAGTCTATAGTCTAGTTTATAGTCTAGCCTATAGACTAGTCTATAGTCTATTCTATAGTCCAGTCTATAATCTATTCTATAGTCTAGTCTATAGTCTAGTCTATAGTCTAGTCTATAGTCTAGTCTATAGTCTAGTCTATAGTCTAGTCTATAGTCTAGTCTATAGTCTAGTCTATAGTCTAGTCTATAGTCTAGTCTATAGTCTAGTCTATAGTCTAGTCTATAGTCTAGTCTATAGTCTAGTCTATAGTCTAGTCTATAGTCTAGTCTATAGTCTAGTCTATAGTCTAGTCTATAGTCTAGTCTATAGTCTAGTCTATAGTCTAGTCTATAGTCTAGTCTATAGTCTAGTCTATAGTCTAGTCCTATAGTCTAGTCTATAGTCTAGTCTATAGTCTAGTCTATAGTCTAGTCTATAGTCTAGTCTATAGTCTAGTCTATAGTCTAGTCTATAGTCCTAGTCTAGTCTAGTCTAGTCTATAGTCTAGTCCAGGGGTCGGCAAACTTTTGAGTCTGAAGAGCCAAAATTTACAGTTTACAAACATGGGTTTTAAAAGAGCCACAAAATGTTTGTTTATTAAAACATTACAAATACTTTATGATTTCACTTCAAATACTTTTAGAGTTTTTATGAGTCATTCGAATGCGTTTTTACACTTGTTATATAAATATGTAACAGTTTATTAGAGTGGGGGCGACAGTGATATAATTAGGCACCAATCGATATAAAATTTTGCACAAGTTTTTTTATACAACAGAAATTATACTGTGATGTATTGCGGACATTGAACCATAATTGACCAACCCCAATATAAGGTCCATTCAGAAAATTACTCTACTTAACAGTAGCAGTATAGAGACGAAATTCGACATAAAAAAGTTGTATAAGAACAAAAATCTATCTTCCAAATTTGTTTTTAACACTCATAACTGGCTTAATAATGGCTGTTTTATGACGAAATTCAACACAAACAGGATCAAAAATCATTTTAACAAATTTTGTGACGATCGGCTCATAATTGATCCTACCCCCCACATTAGATCGCCATTAGAAAATGACCCTATCGCTCTTAAGTGACTTAATAATAGCAGTAAGCGACGAAATTCGACACAAACAGGTTTTATAAGAACAAAATCTCTCGACCAAATTTGAAGACGATCGGAACATAATTGACCAGTCCCCTTATATAAGGTCTACTTCAGAAAATGACTCTAACGCTCATAACTGATTTAATAATATCATTGTTGACCATACACCCATATAAATTCCTCTTCAGGAAATTACTTTAACGCTCAAAATAGGCTTAATAATAACAGCATAGTGGTGAAATTCGTCATAAGTTTATAAGAACAAAAATATCTATACCAAATTTAAAAAGGATGGATTCAAATTTGACCCTTCCCCCCATATGGAGTCCTATTTCGAAAGTTTCAACTTACAACAGGCTAAAATACAAGTATAGTGATGAAAATCAACACAAACAAGTTTTATAGGATCCAAAACTTCACTACCAAATTTTGTAAGGATGGGTCCTTAATACGCTTTCTGGTCCCTTATTTATAGCTAAAAATTTTATGTCAAAAATATATCAATCTTTCATAGATCACTGTCATTAAAACGTGCAATATATAAAAATTTATAATTTTTTGCCCCTTTTTATAGAACGTGCAAAAAATATAAAATTCTTTAAAAAAAGATTAAAGTTTAAAGTTTTGAAATAGACCAAGTTTTTAGTATTTAACTGTATCCAAATTCTCTACATTATTAATTAATTACTATATTTTAAATTTCCAAAAAATATGTTTTAATTCGAAAAACACGAAAATTTCGGAATGTATGATCCTGATTTACATCTTATCTAATGGCACCTCGTAGTATCAATGATATGATACCCCATTCGTTTATAGGGAACTTTTCAATAAACACTTTAAAGAATTAAACATTTTCTTACAATATTAACTTGTACATGGAACAAATTCAATGGGAGTGATAGGATTGTATGGCTTCAGAAAGCTTGGATCATAACTTGTTGTTTAAAGTTTCAAAAATGACTCTAAATTTTCATTTGTTAGTTGGCTTTTTACCTAAATCTTCCAATTCTCCAATACCATTACCAAATGGCTCAATGAGGATTTATTCTCAAATGTACGATTGTAGGGGCAAATAAAAGCAAGAAATGAGCGAAAAGCTAATGGTGTTGTTTTCTTTCTTTCTCACTCAAAAAGTATTTTGCTCATGTACAGAACTATTAAGCAAAGTTAAAAAGTTTTGTATATTGTAGAAACGTTTGCGGAGTGTTTTGTTAGTTTTAATACATTGCCTCGTTAATCGACTTGGAAAGATTTTAAAATATGCATACAAATATTTTTTTATAAAATAAATAAAATGTGTGTATGAAACTAAAGAGCCACAGCTCCACATCCAAAGAGCCGCATTTGGCTCGCGAGCCATAGTTTGCCGACCCCTGGTCTAGTCTATAGTCTAGTCTATAGTCTAGTCTATAGTCTAGTCTATAGTCTAGTCTATAATCTAGTCTATAGTCTAGTCTATAGTCTAGTCTATAATCTAGTCTATAGTCTAGTCTATAGTCTAGTCTATAGTCTAGTCTATAGTCTAGTCTATAGTCTGGTCTATAGTCTAGTCTAGTCTAGTCTATAGTCTAGTCTATAGTCTAGTCTATAGTCTAGTCTATAGTCTAGTCTATAGTCTAGTCTATAGTCTAGTCTATAGTCTAGTCTATAGTCTAGTCTATAGTCTAGTCTATAGTCTAGTCTATAGTCTAGTCTATAGTCTAGTCTATAGTCTAGTCTATAGTCTAGTCTATAGTCTAGTCTATAGTCTAGTCTATAGTCTAGTCTATAGTCTAGTCTATAGTCTAGTCTATAGTCTAGTCTATAGTCTAGTCTAGTCTATAGTCTAGTCTATAGTCTAGTCTATAGTCTAGTCTATAGTCTAGTCTATAGTCTAGTCTATAGTCTAGTCTATAGTCTAGTTTATAGTCTAGTCTATAGTCTAGTCTAGTCTATAGTCTAGTCTATAGTCTAGTCTATAGTCTAGTCTATAGTCTAGTCTATAGTCTAGTCTATAGTCTAGTCTATAGTCTAGTCTATAGTCTAGTCTATAGTCTAGTCTATAGTCTAGTCTATAGTCTAGTCTATAGTCTAGTCTATAGTCTAGTCTATAGTCTAGTCTATAGTCTAGTCTATAGTCTAGTCTATAGTCTAGTCTATAGTCTAGTCTATAGTCTAGTCTATAGTCTAGCCTATAGTCTAGTCTATAGTCTAGTCTATAGTCTAGTCTATAGTCTAGTCTATAGTCTAGTCTACAGTCTAGTCTTAGTCTAGTCTATAGTCTAGTCTATAGTCTAGTCTAGTCTATAGTCTAGTCTATAGTCTAGTCTATAGTCTAGTCTATAGTCTAGTCTATAGTCTAGTCTATGGTCTAGTCTATAGTCTAGTATATAGTCTAGTCTAGTCTATAGTCTAGTCTATAGTCTAGTCTATAGTCTAGTCTATAGTCTAGTCTATAGTCTAGTCTATAGTCTAGTCTATAGTCTAGTCTATAGTCTAGTCTATAGTCTAGTCTATGGTCTAGTCTA